ATGAGCTTGGGGCATGTTGCCTGTCTTGGTCATCTAGGTTAGCTTCATCATTTCGGCTATGTGGGCTGTCTTGACATGTCAATGGGAGTGGCAGATCACTTTGGCCATCCTACCAACAGTCCTACAAGGAAAGCCCTTGTCCTTGTGGGTCTACCACAAAGGTGCTACAAACTAGAGGATATCCGCCGACAACAGACGGCGTGTTGGACACAAAAAATGCTCCTTACCTCTTTACCTGTTACCCCTCCCCTAACCCCTCCCCAGGGGCACCATTTCAGACTAAATCTGTTCATTGTGCGGGCTTGCGCTCAGTTTGTCAAAAACATTGGGGTGTTCGATTCCCCACGGGTGCGCTGTCGCATCCTTAGCAGCTCCAGCGGCACATCGCCAGCATCACCTGCATCATCCGCATCCGCGCCTGCCAAGGATGCGGATGATGCAAGTGATGCTGGGGATGTTGCCCATGCTGGTGAAGGAAATGAAGGGGAAAAAGGGGGAAAAAATCTCAACAGCGAAAGGGGGGGAAAGATCTCAGGCAGGAAAGGGAGAAGATCTGGGGAAAAATGCTTTAAGGGGGAAAGGGGGGAAAAGATCTTTGGGAGGAAAAGGGAAATCTTCCTCGGGGGGAACAGGCCCTAAGGGGCAATGGGGGGACAGGATCTCAAACGGGAAAGGGGGAAAAAGACTTTGGGAAGAGAAGGGTGGAGATCTTGGGGGGAAAAGGCCTTAGGGGGGAAACGGGGGAAAGGATCTTAAGCGGGAAAGGGGGGAAAAGATCTTAGGGAGGCAAAGGGAGACGAACTCAGGGAAAAGGACTTAGGGAGGAAAGGGGGGGAAAGATCTTTGGGAGGAAAAGGGAGAAGAACTGAGGGTGGGAAAAGGCCTTAGAAGGAAAAGGGGGGAAATAAATGATCTCAACAGGGAACTGGGGGGGGGGGGAAAGATCTTAGGGAGGAAAGGCAGAAGATCTGGGGCAAAAAGGCCTTAGGGGGGAAAGGGGAGAAATGATCTCAACAGGGAAAGGGGTGGAAAAGATCTTAGGGAGGAAAGGGAGAAGATCTGGGGAAAAAAGGCCAACAGGGAAAGGGGGGAAAAGATCTTAGGAAGGAAAAGGGAGAAGCTCTCAGGGGGGAAAGGCCTTAGGGGGGAAAGGGGGAAAAGGATCTCAGATCTTAGGGAGGAAGATCGAGGGGAGAAGATCTGGGGACAAAGGCCTTAGGGGGGAAAGGGGAGAAATGATCTCAACAGGGAAAGGGGTGGAAAAGATCTTAGGGAGGAAAGGGAGAAGATCTGGGGGAAAAAAGGCCAACAGGGAAAGGGGGGAAAGATCTAAGGAAGGAAAAGGGAGAAGCTCTCAGGGGGGGGAAAGGCCTGAGGGGGGAAAGGGTGGGAAGGATCTCAACAGGGAAAGGGGGGAAACAATCTTAGGAAGGAAAAGGGAGAAGATCTGGAAAGGCCTTAAAGGGAAGGGGGGAAAGGATCTCAACAGGGAAAGGGGGCAAAGGATCTTAAGGAGGAATAGGAAGAAGATCTCAGCGGGGGGAAAGGCCGTAGGGGGGAAAGGGGGGAAAGGATCTCAACAGGGAAAGGGGGGGAAAGATCTCAGTGAGGAAAGGGAGAAGGTCCCAGGCAGGGAAAAGGCCTTAGGGGGGAAAGGGGGAAAGGATCTCAACAGGGAAAGGGGGCAAAGGATCTTAGGGAGGAAAAGGGAGAAGATCTGAAAAGGCCTTAGGGGGAAAAGGGGGAAAGGAGCTCAACAGGGAAAGGTGGGAGAAGATCCTAGGGAGGAAAAGGGAGAAGATCTTGGGGGGAAAGGGGGAAAGGATCTCAACCAAGGGAAAAGATCTTGGGGAGGACAAGGGAGAAGATCTCAGGGGGGGGGAAGGCCTTAGGGGGGAAAGAGGGGAAAGGACCTCAACAGGGAAAGGGGGCAAAGGATCTTAGGGAGGAAAAGGGAGAAGATCTTGGGGGGGAAAACGCCTTAGGGGGGAAAGGGCGGGAAAGGATCTCAACAGGGAAAGGGGGGAAAAGATCTAAGTAAGGAAAAGGGGGAAGATCGCGGGGGGAAAAAAGGCCTTAGGGGGGAAAGGAGGGAAAGGATCTCAACAGGGAGAGGGGGGAAAACATTGTAGGGAGGAAAAGGGAAAAACTCAGAGGGAGAAAGGGCCTTAGGGGGGAAAGGGGGAATGGATCTCAGCAGGGAAAGGGTGGAAAAGATCTTAGGAAGGAAAAGGGAGAAGCTCTCAGGGGGGGGAAAGGCCTTGGGAGGGAAAGGGGGGAAAGGACCTCAACAGGGAAAGGGTGGGAAAGATCTTAAGGAGGAAAGGGGGGAAAAGATCTTAGGGAGGAAAGGGAGAAGATCTGGGGGCAAAGGCCGTAGGGGGGAAAGGGGAGAAATGATCTCAACATGGAAAGGGGTGGAAAAGATCTTAGGGAGGAAAGGGAGAAGATGTGGGGGAAAAAAGGCCAACAGGGAAAGGGGGGAAAGATCTAAGGAAGGAAAAGGGAGAAGCTCTCAGGGGGGGGAAAGGCCTGAGGGGCGAAAGGGTGGGAAGGATCTGAACAGGGAAAGGGGGGAAACAATCTTAGGAAGGAAAAGGGAGAAGATCTGGAAAGGCCTTAAAGGGAAGGGGGGAAAGGATCTCAACAGGGAAAGGGGGCAAAGGATCTTAAGGGGGAATAGGGAGAAGATCTCAGCGGGGGGAAAGGCAGTAGGGGGGAAAGGGGGGAAAGGATCTCAACAGGGAAAGGGGGGGGGGGAAAGATCTCAGGGAGGAAAGGAAAAAGATCCCAGGGAGGAAAAGGCCGTAGGGGGGAAAGTGGGGGAAAGGGAGGAAAAGGGAGAAGATCTCAGGGGGGAAAAGGCCTTAGAAGGGAAAGGGGGGAAAGGATCTCAACAGGGAGAGGGGGGAAAACATCTTAGGGAGGAAAAGGGAAAAATCAGAGGGAGAAAAGGCCTTAGGGCGGAAAGGGGGAATGGATCTCAACAAAGAAAGGGGGGCAAAAATCTCAGAGGGGAAGGGGGCAAGGGGACAATTCCAAAGGGACGCAAATAAGAAAGCAGGCCTGTACTGTCGGCGGCCTGAGCCGGAGGCGTTAAAATGTTACCCTCCTGCCAAGACCCCCCTCTCAGGTTCCATGTTGGTTGGCGGTAGGGTATTTGTTCATAGACGATTCCGCTACAAAACTTGGCTGTGGTACAAAACCCGGTACCCCAGGTGAACATCAAAATAGGTGGTACATGGATGTTCAGCCGCCCCAAAATGGCAGTATAGGTTATGACCCATGGCCACTTGGTGTTACCTCCACCCCACTCTGCCGCTCCTCGCCGCATCTCCGCAACTCCTTGGCCTTCAGCGCCTCCAGCTTCTCCTCGTGCGGAAATCGGTGGGGGGGGGGGGCCTTGGACCAGGGACCAAAATAATGTGTTCAGATGTTGTTTTTTGTTTATGCAGCAGACCTTAAGATTTGTCTAAAAATGGAGGAAACCCAGTTGACTTTTGGCTCCAAAAAAAGTGGTCGGAAAAGATTTATGCAAGCCTTGCCAACCCCCATGAATGGGAAACCAACCTTTGAAACTGGGATCCTTGAACTTGTTTTGGGGTTCAAGCCTCACAGGTGCCTGAGCCGAATGTCCGGAGCAAAGGCTCCTTGAGCCTGAACAGCGCCGCACGCTCCTCCCCGCGGATCCGAGCATCCGCGGCCGCCTGCCAGGGAGAGAGAATTTGTGGGGCGGGGTGCGCCAATTGATGTTGAGATTCCCAGGTTCTGGGAAACCAAAAGGACGGATTCGGTTTTGCTGGAGGAGAGGAGGGTACGCGGCAAACTCATGTACCTCGTGTCCAAAGGCGCCCGCAAAGCCAGACTTTTCATTGATTTGACGCCTCAGCAGAGAAGCTGCTGCTGTTTGCGTTTTGGGTGGCCCACCTCATATCAACCAAAGCCAAGCTATCGGCCAGGGAAAAAGGATGGTAGAATCAAAGACCGCAGCAGCAGCAGCAGCAGCAGCAGCAGCAGCAGCAGCAGCAGCAGCAGCAGCAGCAGCAGCAGCAGCAGCACAGTGCTGCTTTCCAGTGCACATCCAGCATAGGTCCCAACCGTTTTCCTCTCAAACATTGACCCAAGACAAACTCAGCGTTGATTGGCCTTTTGAAATCACTGGATTGTCTCAACGTTCCGGGGCCTCGAGACACAAAAACACGACAAGCCCACCTTGGCTTGTCTACGCTTCAAGCTGATGTTCTGCCGCACCTGGCGCCGACCTGGGCTCAAGTCTTGGCGTCAAAAGTCTGGTGCCTTGTCCTCTTGGGAAAACCGAAGGGAAACCAACAGGGAAGCCACAGCATTGGCATTCTTCCCATTGTCGTTCCTCTGGAAAGTTCAAGGGGAGTGGGCCCCGTGAAAACCGTGAAAACCAGAGCAAGGTCGCCATCCTCTGGAATTCCCCCTCGAAGTCTCACCTCTGGGGCAGATGACGTCGGTTGTATGTGGCCAACTCAAAGGCCCAGTTTTGGACCAAGACATGCCCGGCCCAAAATACTGTTGATGGACGAAGTTCACTTTGCACCAGTTCGGGGGTTAGTCCTACTGTTCAAAGGGTTTCATCAATTTAAGCTGGTGCCTGCTGTAGATTTCGTCCATCCACAGTGTCACTTCAGCGAGCGGCGGATGTTTTTCTGGATGGTGATGGCTGCCCCCTCCTTCGCCATCTCCTGACGCGTGCTGAGAGTGGTTCAAATTCTGGAGGTGTCACTTGGCCATGTGTCAAAATGGAGGGAACAAGTTGTTGTTGGGTTCCCCTGAGGCCAACCTGAAATGGGTGCCATCAATAAACACACACACACACACACATCCTCCACCCTTCTTTTCTTCCCTCAAGGCCAAAGGGGTCTAGGTCTCGTCATTTCGCGAGCGTGGCGGCTGTACGACCTTTACGTCTTGGCTCCCAGAGCGGCACCTGCGTTTGACCCACGTCGTTGGAAGGTCACAAATGTTGACGC